AGAGGGGGAAGGGTGGAACCCGCTTCCACGGGTTCCATCCCTGACCGGGGAACTAAGATCCCCACATGCCATGCAGTGCGGCCAAAAAGAAAAAAAATTTTGTTGTTGTTTATGACTTTCCTAAATATTTAATAGTGAATATGTATCAGTTTTTTCCCTTGTAATGCAAAGATTTAGGCATATGCTCATGATATATGCATACATATCTCCTCCCATTTAAATCTAGAGAATAAAAATTCAACTGGCATTTGAGTCTGAGTTAGAGGAACGCAATTCCATTCTGTATTTAATAAGTCTGTATTCACTTTATGTGCTTTTCCTGGTTCAGATTCTTATTCTAGTCTGAGTAGTTGAAGGATTTAGAAAAAAAAAAATTAACTTTATTATCTTTACACAATAGTCATCAGTTTGGCTGGTAATGATGCGTTTTTGGCCATAATTCCAAAACTACATATGATAGCAGTACTTTGCCAACTTAGGGGGAAAATATTATGGGAAGTATAGTCATATGCCTTAAATGTTGTTTTGTAGCAATGTAAAATGACTTATTAAAGGGTATGTCTTACCTGCTTATATCCATGACCCAGATCAAGGTATGTTGGACCTTTACAGACTTATGTTAACACCAAAACCTGTACATGAGTGTTTATAGCAGCTTTATTTGTAATAGCCCCAAAGGAAAAACAACCCCGATATCCTTTAACACATTCAATGGTTAAATAAACTGTGGTATGTCTACACCATGAAACGCTGCCCAGCAGTATAAAGAAACAAACTCCCCATATGTGCAGCAATCTGGACAAATCTCCAGAGAATTATACTGAAAGAAAACCAGCAATCCCCCAAAGTTATATACTGTATGACTCCATTTATATAACAGTCTTGAAATGCAAAATTGTAGAAATGGAGAAGAGATTAGCGGTAGCCAAGGGTTAGGGAGGGGTGAGGGAGGAGAGAGTGGGTATGGCCATAAAACTGCAACAAGAGGGATGCTTGTGGATTGGGAATGTTCTGTACTTTGAATGTATCAATGTCAATATCCCGAGTGATATAGACTACAGTTTTGCAAGATGTTACCATGCGGGAAACTGGGTGAAAGGTATATGGGCTCTGTCCTGTACTATTTCTTACAACTGCTGTGTCTACAATTAACTGAAAAAAAAAAAAAAAAAGACTTGGGCTTCCCTGGTGGCGCAGTGGTTGAGAGTCTGCCTGCCGATGCAGAGGACACGGGTTCTTGTGCCCCGGTCCCGGAAGATCCCACATGTCGCGGAGCGGCTGGGCCCGTGAGCCATGACCGCTGAGCCTGTGCTCCGCTATGGGAGAGGCCACAACAGTGAGAGGCCCGGGTACCACAAAAAAAAAAAAAAAAGATTTAATTTTTTTTAAAAAAGAACAATAAAATATATATTCTTGGATGGGCTAAAATAGAGGTCTAAGATACCTGTTTTTTTTCAATTTACAGTCTCCTCAACTTTCCAGCATCCTTGAAATGCCCTTTAAAATGAAAACTAAGCCAAATTAGATGTCAACTCAGTGTTAGTAAGTTGGTATTTTGTTTTGCTCCTAAGCTTGTTAACTCTGGAACAATCAGACTTGATAAAATACAGAAACAATAGATTTCCTGACTCTGCCCTGCTGTGTAAATACACTCTTTTAACTCCTTAGCTTCATCTGCCAATGTAGTTGTGGACCCACCTATAATTATCCTGGCCAATATCATTTCCAAATTCTCCTGCTTGTGAAGGGCCCTCAAAGGAACCAGATCAAACAAGAAATGAAGCAAGGAACGTCTTAGACTCAAGAACAGTTTCTGCAAAGGTCCCTCCCTTTTCTGCTTCTCTCATCACCAGCATTTAGCATGGCTTTAGTTAGCAAAATACACGTAGGAATCCAGCAATATTATATCAGCTATAAGATAAAGAAAGATAAAAAAGATCAGTTAAAGAAAGAACAGGAGGGGGCACTTAGGGTTTAAAATGCTAATTTCTAGGGTAAATTTAACTGGAACAAAATTGGATTTTATACGGCTTATATTTTCTGGATTTTAAAAAATGCACATCCTTCTTTGGCCTATATTTAATAACGACTATTATATATTTGCTTTTTTAAATAAACATCTGCAACATGCAAGGCAATGCAGCAAAGCATTCCCCAAGATTAAGAAATTAATATCTGTTTATAATCATATTTTTAAAAAACTCCAGTAATGGTAAAGCTCTCAGGCAGCACATAGCAGCCACCAATATTTGAAGCTGATATTTTAGCAGAGTAAGACTCCAACCTGGGCAGTGGAGCTAGACTTACCCCAGAAATGTCCACATGAGAGTTTTTACTTCCCACATTTCATTGTATTCAAGTAAAATGGTTTCTGGATAGTTTGGAGATTTGCAGAGAAAAATCCCATCTTAGCCTCTTTTCAAAATAATGCTATGCCTAACTTTGGTGGCCGAGAGAAGAGGTCAGAAGATTTTTAAAGATCTCAACAGTTTAAATAGCTCTTTTGCCAGTCTGGGCAGGAAGACACTGAACTTTCCCCATTCCTGAAAAGAAACTGCTCAAGGCACTAATTTCCGGTTTGTCTCTGGCTCCCAGGTTTCTTTGATATCCGGAAGATGGGTTTGGTCTGAACAAATTAGCAACTGAGGTGAAGAATGGTTGCTTTTATTATTAGATAATCTTTCTCTTACTGACTTTTCTCAGCATAAGTTGCAAAAGCAGCTCCTTTTAAATGCATTATCGTCCAAAACTCAAAGCCAAGTGGCTAACTAAACAGGAGTCTCTTCCTTCCCACTCAAGCCACAATCGGGATTCAGAAAAGTGTGTGGAGCTGGTAAAAACGTTTGGCCTTGACCCTCACTTGGGTTTTTCTTTCCTAAAACTGCAAAGTTCCAGTTTGTGTCCTGTCTCTCCATCTTATAAATTTATTTGGTTCTGGTTCATAATTCGCTGTGGAAACTGCTGTTCTGATTTGAAGTCCCTTATCTGTCCCCATCCGACCCCACCACTTTCAGCTGCCCGCTCTTGGGTTCTCCTGAATTCCTTTGCCAGCCCTGGGACTAGGATGAGGGAGGGACTTTGCTGTGGGGGAAACTTATCAGGGACTCCCTCGCTCTTCCTGGGGCCTCTAGCGGCCTAAGCCAAGGGTCCTGGAACCCCTAGACTCCTGGAGGAGCAAGCGCAATGGTGCATCTCTTCGGAGGGGGTGGAGGGGGTGGGCTTAGAGAGGAGGAGGGGCCCATCGGGGCAGAGCCCAAGGACAATGAAATGGCACTCTTTTCTTTTTGTTTTTTTTTTAAACATATGGAATTTATTGTTTTCTGGTTTTCCCTCCTGACATGATGCCATTTATTTATTTATTTATTTTTAATGATTTTTTTTAACATCTTCATCGGAGTATAATTGCTTTACAATGGTGTGTTAGTTTCTGCTTTATAACAAAGTGAATCAGTTATACATATACATATGTCCCCATATCTCCTCCCTCTTGCGTCTCCCTCCCTCCCACCCTCCCTATCCCACCCCTCTAGGTGGTCACAAAGCACTGAGCTGATCTCCCTGTGCTATGCGGCTGCTTCTCACTAGCTATCTATTTTATGTTTGGTAGTGTATATAAGTCCATGCCACTCTCTCACTTCATCCCAGCTTACCCTTCCCCCTCCCCGTATCCTCAAGTCCATTATCTAGTAGGTCTGTGTTTTTATTCCTGTCTTGCCGCTAGGTTCTTCATGACCTTTTTTTTTTTCTTTTTCTTAGATTCCATATATATGTGTTAGCATACGGTATTTGTTCTTTTCTTTCTGACTTACTTCACTCTGTATGACAGACTCTAGGTCCATCCACCTCACTACAAATAACTCAATTTTGTTTCTTCTTATGGCTGAGTAATATTCCATTGTATATATGTGCCACATCTTCTTTATCCATTCATCTGTCAATGGACACTTAGGTGCTTCCATGTCCTGGCTATTGTAAATAGAGCTGCAATGAACATTTTGGTACATGACTCTTTTTGAATTATGGTTTTCTCTGGATATATGCCCAGTAGTGGGATTGCTGGGTCATATGGTAGTTCTATTTTTAGTTTTTTAAGGAACCTCCATACTGTTCTCATAGTGGCTATATCAATTCACATTCCCACCAACAGTGCAAGAGGGTTCCCTTTTCTCCACACCCTCTCCAGTATTTATTGTTTGTAGATTTTTTGATGATGGCCATTCTGACCCGTGTGAGATGATATCTCATTGTAGTTTTGACTTGCATGAAATGGCACTCTTGATAAACCTGACACATAAACTGGCACATCTGGCTTTTTTTCTTGTTTGCTTTTGTTTTTTTCTTTTTGACTACGAAATAGGAAAACTTTAAAGTGATTTATTTCACCAACCACTGTGGGGTCCATAAAGGATGTCTTGACCAGTTGTAAGGGAGGATTTTGTCTGTGGAGCAATAACACACAAATAAGAGGTGAGATCAATTATATTACAGGCTTCACCACCTGGAGGACTTTTTTTTCTAGAGGGAGCATTGGCGGAAACAATAGAAATTAGACTGTCCTTAAGACCAAGAAAATGAGGAGCACTACTTACTTTGAAAAGAATCATTTGGATATGATCCTTACAGCACTTTCATTCAGATTCTCTCTTCCAGGCGCACCCTAGCGTCAAAATTTCCCACTAACTTGAGAATTCTGAGACTGAGATTCTCCAAGAATTTTCCACGAGCAACCTTTCTGAGTGGCACAAACGTGCATGTTGGGGGGCTGCCCCTAACAGGCCAGTTCTCAGAGGACTCATGAAGCACAGGAAGAAAACAGGAAAACCTCTATTTACACGTATTTAATCTCATCCTATCTAAATTACTAATTGGAGTATATGATAGGATATACCTAACATATTAGTGCTATAGCAATATAAGTATAATATTTATAAATAAATACAAATATGTATATTGGATCTGAATGCTCAAGTTTTAAAAAGTTGACATTTATGATTTCACACAGTCTCGGGAAGCTGGAAATGGCTTTGCTGTGTGATTCTGGCTCGGGGTCTCTCACGAGGTTGCCTTCGGGCTGTCGATCAGGGTTGTCGTCATCCCCAAGCTCATAGGGAGCTGAAGAATCCACTTCCAGCTCACTCTCTTGGTAATTGGTTAGCATCATCAGTTCTTAGCTGGCTGCTGGCACAAGGCTTCAGTCTCTCATTTCATGGGCCCCTCCACTGGGCTGCTCACAAGATGGCAGCCTGCTTTCCTCAAAGTGACAGATGAGAGAATGAAAAGCCTTAAAAAGGCTGGAGACCACTTTGCTAAAGGCAAAGAAAATCAGTCTTCTTCAGTCAAGCCCATAGAAAGTGACTTGTGCTTTATAACCAGAAATTCATAACTGGTATTAGCCGCTGACTATGAGTTCATTCACACATCACACAGCTCCCCAAGGATGGGACCACATTTCATACCTTTTTATTTCCCCATGACCTAGTATCATCCTTGAGAGTGTAAGAGAATTGTTAATGAAGGGTAAACTGGATTGCAAAAGGAGGTTGAGAGGAATGGAGAGGAACTGTTCTTAAGTTAGTTTACTTGGATTTGAGTCTTGGTCAGCCACCTGGTAGCTGTGTGACTTCAGGCAAGTTGTTTAACCTCTCTGTGTTTTGGTTTGCTCAACTCTACAATAAGAATAATATTAATGCCTGCCTTATAAGGTCATGAAGAGTAATTGTGAAGATGCATATAAAGGGCTAAGAACAGTGCCTGGCACCTAGAAAATGTTTCCAAAGCAGGATTTCTTGTTTTCTGGGGCAGCGGTCTCCAGCCTTTTTGACTATATTCTCCATCAATTAAAAAAAAAAAAAAGCATTTAGCTTCAATATATGTATACATGATTTATTTAAATATTTTTATCTATAATATATTCTTTCCATTAATTAACCCCTTGCAGCACTAGTACTACAAGGCAAAATGTTATGTGAGGTTTTACCAGGATTGGACTGCATGCCTGGTAGAATATGGCAGAAGTGATGGTATCACTTCTGAGATTAGGATATGAGAGACCTCTGCTTCCACCTTGGATGCCCACTGGCTCCCACTCTCTTGATCATTCTCTCATCTGTCATTTCGAGGAAGGAAGGCTGCCATCTTGTGAGCAGCCCAGTGGAGGGGCCCATGAAATGAGAGACTGAAGCCTTGTGCCAGCAGCCAGATAAGAACTGATGATGCAAGAGATTGAGCTGGAAGCGGATTCTTCAGCTCCCTATGAGCTTGGGGATGACGACAACCCTGACCGACAGCCCAAAGGCAACCTCGTGAGAGACCCCGAGGCAGAATCACACAGCTAAGCCATTTCCAGCTTCCCGAGACCGTGTGAAATCATAAATGTCTATTGCTTTAAGGTGTTAAAAAAAATGCCATGTGTTTAAAGGATAAATAAACTACTTTTTTTTTTTTTGCCACATCGTGCTTCATGCGGGATCTTAGTTCCCTAACCAGGGATGGAACCGGCGCCCCCGGCAGTGGAAGGCGAAGTCTTAACGACTGGACTGCCAGGGAAGTCCCCAAATAAACTACATTTGAATTGGCAAGCCCAAGAATTTTTAGATGCTTATAAAAGAAGAAGATGGTAGATTCTTGTGATTTTTAGCCAATATTTATTCCTAGTGATCACTTGACCTATCTGAGTTGAGGGCTCGGTATTTTTTGTGTCACAGTTTGGTGACAGCCATACCCTGCAAGGCTGCCGCCCCATTCACTTTCTGAACAAGATCTAGATCAAGCTCTCAGAGGCAGGTGTACGACCAGGAAATGACCTCATTAAATGGCAGGCAGAGCCACAGAACAATTTCACAACAAAGACATTGCTACAGGGTGGACCTGTGCAATGACCACAGAGGCAGAGGCAGGATGGGCTGTGATAATCCCATGTGCAAATAAAAACCCAGGAGGTGCTTAGTTCAAACCAGTTTAATAGGACTGTAGGTATAATGGCCTTTTTCTTATACCTGGGGGCTGTTTGAGAGGCTCCAGAATTTTATATGATGACACTAAAACAATACCTATTTTCAGACCTCATAGTGGAGGGGGAAATATATGTAAATTTAAATACCAAAGGGGCAAGGTAGGGGTAGAGAATTAAGAGGTACAAACTACTACATATAAAATAAATAAGCTACAAAGATATAGTGTACAACACAAGGAACATAGCCAATATTTTATAATACTTTTAAAATTAATTAATTTTTTATTAAAGTGTGGTTGATTTACAATGTTGTGTTAGTTTCAGGTGCACAGCAAAGTGATTCAGTTAGGTGTACATATATATGTATTTTTTCCCTTATAGGTTATTACAAAATATTGAGTATAGTTCCCTGTGCTATACAGTAGGTCCTTGTTGGTTATCTATTTTATATAGAGCAGTGTGTATATGTAATCCCAACCTCCTAATTGTAATAACTTTAAATGGAGTATAATCTATAGAAAATATCGAATCACTATGTTGTAATATAATGTTGTAAATCAACTATACCTTAATTTAAAAATTAAAATAAATAAATAACCAATTTTAATGTGGAATAGGCTTAGGATCTGGGAGGGTTTCCCTGGAGGGGCAGGAGGTATCTGGAGTAGCAACCAGCATAGGTAAAGAGGCCACCGTGGAAGGGGTGATATTGCCAAGGAGGCCAAGCACAAGTCGACCGTTTATCCCATACGGATGAAACTGCAAAGGAGTATAAATGCAGCAACTAAAATCAATATTTGTAAAGGACACAACAGGTTGGCTTGAAGATGATTCAAGTAGGTCTCTCAAGTCTAGGTGGAAATTTGTAGGGTCCCATCTTTTCATTGAAAGGAGTGATTTTAAACATCTCTGGCTTTTAAATGTGAGATTTCTTTTTTCTTTCTCCCCCCATCCCCAGCCCCCGCGTGGCTTGGGGGATCTCAGTTCCCGACCGGGGATGGAACCCCTGCCCCCTGCAATGGAAGCGCGGAGTCCTAACCACTGGACTGCCAGGAAATTCTCTAAATGCAAGATTTCAATCATATTCAGTTCTATTTTAACAATGATTCTAGGATATGACCTTTCTGGGCACTGTGATCTTTAATAACAGGTGGCCCACTTTTGGATTCTCATAGCAAAATTAAACAGTAGAACTCTTATGTGACACTGTTATTTTAATTTGTAGACATTGGGCCTTGTACTTTTGTTCCGTGTTGCATTATTGCGTCCTCCACGGTAGATAGCTGTGATAAGGAGGCCGTGGTCCCTGCTGCCCTCTGTGCGCTGCTAGTGGACCACCCTGGTCCCCCATCTACCATAGGAGGTGTGTGTCTCTGTGGGTGTCCAGTACCATCTCCCCAGGTGGAGACCGTTAATATATTGCAAATGAATCAGAGTTTTCTAATTGTTTTTTCCCCCCAAAACAGCATCTCCTGTCCTTCCTTGACACCGAGATCCCATTAATTCTCCAACTTAGCTGTTTAGGCAACTTCTCCCAGTATCCTAGCAGATGGATGACAGAGGCTCCTATTTAAACACTGGGCTACTGCCACTCTATGGGCTCCACACATAGTACCCCTCCCCCGGACCCAGCATGTCTGAATTCTCTTCCTCTGTTGAATTTGCTTTTATGCAAGTGCTTAAATCTATTTGAGATTTAAAAATAAACAACCACTGAGCTTTGCTCAATGCCCTTAGAGATTGCTTTTCTTTCACAATCCAGTTTCTTGGAAGAACAGTCTCTACAGCACATTGATCTTCACCTTACCCTCTTTCATTCCTCAACTCTCTGCCATCTGGCGTCTGTCCCCACCGTGGCAGTGGGCTGCTCTCTTGTCCTGGTCGCCTGCAGCAGAGAACAGGCCCCAGCCCCTATCTTTGTTCCCACTGTGCAATTTGACACTGTGGACCGCTCCTCCTGGGAAATTTCTTCGGCGGCCTCCCAGCTATAACTTTTTCTCAGGCCACTGCATGTTGATCTCCTGCAGACGTACTTTCGACTGTCTTTCTATGTGGCTGGTCCACCAGCCCTACCCCAGGCCCTCTCCTGTTCTTTTCTCACCTCGTCTCACACTCCATGTCTGTCCTGAGTAGCTCAGCCCATCCACAGCTTTAGTAGCCACTTCATGTCCAAATGTGCCCCTCAGCCCAGGCCCTTTCTGTAACCAGGACAGATTATCCAACTATGTTTGGTACATCAACAAATACAGGCAGACCCCGGAGATTTCCAAGGTTCGGTTCCAGATCACAGCGATAAAGCGAATATCACAATAAAGCGAGTCACATGAATTTTTTAGCTTCCCAGTGCCTATAAAAGTTATGTTTATACTATACTCTCTATGGAGTGTGCAATAGCATTATGTCTTTAAAAAAACAATGTACATACTTTAATTAAAAATACCTTGGGTCCAGTGGTTAAGACTCCACACTTCCACTGCAGGGGGCATGGGTTCGATCCCTGGTCAGGGAACTAAGATCCTGCGTGCTGTGCGGCACAGCCGAAAAATAAAAACAAAACCCAAAAATATCTTATTGCTAAAGATGCTAACCATCACCTGAGCGAGTCATAATCTTTCTGCAATAATAACATCTAAGATCACCATTCACAGATCACTGTAACAAATATGATAAAATGAAAATTTTGCAATATTTCGAGAATTACCAAAATGTGACACAGAGACACAAAGTAAGCAAATGCTGTTGGAAAAACGGCGCCGATAGACTTGCTGGACACAGGGTTGCCACAAACCTTCATTTTGTACAAAACAAAATCTCTGAGAAGTGCTGTGAAACAAGGTATGCCTGTAGTTCAAAATGATCTCACTTTGGGCTTGCCTGGTGATGCAGTGGTTGAGAGTCCGCCTGCCGATGCAGGGGACGCGGGTTCGTGCCCCGGTCCGGGAAGATCCCACATGCCGCAGAGCAACTAAGCCTGTGCGCCACAGCTACTGAGCCCACATGCCTAGAGCCCATGCTCTGCAAGAAGAGAAGCCACGACAATGAGAAGCCCGCACACCCCAACGAAGAATAGCCCCTGCTTGCCGCAACTAGAGAAAGCCTGCGCACAGCCATGAAGACCCAACACGGCCAAAAATTAAATAAATAAATAAATAAATTTATTTTTTAAAAAAAGAATGAAGTAGGCACAACAGGGAGAAACAGAGACC